AGAGGACATGTGCAGCCCGAGAGCGACGACGGCCAAGCGAAGAGCTGACACGAAAGCGGCAAGCGCCCGACACATGCCGCGCGTCTGCGTCCCGATGGCAAAGTCGTCGCTGGCGAGTCGGGTCGACACCTGCGATGGTGAAGAACTCGTCGATCTCGGCTTGGGATCCATGTCGCATGCAAAGCGGGAAGGCCGTCAATCCTTGAGTCGCAAGTCCGGCTTTTCTCGAGTGGAGAAAAGGGATCTCCTCAGCTCCCCGGTCCTGGATGTGAGGCTGATGACTGCACTCCAAAGTGCTCCAAGTGCTCTCGCTCTCTCTCTCAGTGTACGTACTTTTAGCTTACTGGGAGAAAAGGGAGAGGCAGGCGCGATTTCTAGGCCCTTGGGGCCCTACCACTCAGCGCAGTCTGAGAAGCCGGTGAACGAATCTTCGGAGAGGATGGGGTAGTCATCACTGCCGCGCTCACTGGGTTCGAGACATCGAGAGATTGTGCGAGAGATTGTGGGAGAGAGCTTGCGTCGGAGTCGTTCCTCCGCTCCCACCTGTCGAGTGCAAGCTTCAGTTTCTTGGAGTCGAGGTACCAGAGTCCAGACGCCGTCAACCTGCCCTGCGCCCTGAGCAAAGTCAAGGGCCTTTTCCCTCTCGGCCCGAGTGTATGTGTGTAGTACATTCCCGGAGGAGGACTGCTGACATTTTCTTACATGTATGCTTTAGATTTCTTTTTGTTTTGTTTGATTATTTCTACCCGTGTACTGCTTTTAGCACAATAATATTTTTCACGATTGGTAGGATGCACGTGGAGAGACAGGCCGCAAGCCGCATCCATCCATCCGTTCGCGGCAGAAATATTTGAAAATGAATAAAAGAAACCCGCGAACTCTCCCATGTAACTGAAGCCCCCCGCTCATGCCAGAGCGCGCAAAGGCGGACAGCACGGGAGCGGATCCGTGTCGGAGCGGCGCGTCTCCTCGCACAGGCCCGTTCTTTGCCTCTCTGAGCCCTTGGTCTCCACGCCGGACCGCCGTGGCTCCATTGCCACCGCCCGACGTCCACGGAGCCATTGCGGCGTCAAGGGCGGGCGACACAGACGTGCTGGGCAGCTGGCTCCATGAGCACTTTCTAGACGTGAACGCCACCGTCGAGGAAGAGCACACCCTGCTGCACCTCGCTAGTGACGCGGGCCAGGCTGAGTCGATCAAGCTGCTGCTCGCCCATGGAGCGTCGACCGACATTGTCCGTTGGCATCCCACACCCTGCCACCCAGATCCCTTGGGCACCAAGTCGCTCGCCGCATAGGACGCCCGGTAGCGCAGTAGCACCGGTGCGCGGGCACCATCGCGTATTGGATCGCACAGGTGGACTCAGACCGCCAAACGCCTCTACACCTTGCTGCGGTGGGCATTCTAGATTGCACAATAGGCTTGGTGGGAGAAACGAGCAGCGAGGAGGACAAGGCGCGACACACAGCTGTGGGATGAGACACGCACCAGATTGCATGGCAGTGTGGCGGATGCAAGGATACACGTTTTCGAGGGAATTGAGCGCGTGTGACCTGCAACCTCAGGCGGGCGGCCATCTGCAAGCAGTCGTGGCCCTCTTGCAGGCTCGCAGCGCCACCCCGACACGACTAGCCGCCTCGCCTCAGGTTTACGCAAGCTTCTTACCCCTGCCATCTAGGACTCTCCGTGTCAGCTCCTCTCCGAGGACCGCTACGGCATGAGCCCGTGGCACCTCGCCTGCGAGAGCGGGCAGCCCAACCGTCCCTACCGGCAGGGAGCGGCGACTTCTTTGCGACCGACAGATGATCAACTGTAGGAACGTGGAGGTTGTGCGGCTGCTGCTCGATCGCTTTGGCAGCCACCTAACGGCTCGGGAGCGGCGAGGGACAGCACACTTCCTCGCGCTTCGCAACGAATGCCACGACGTTGTTCGCTTGCTGGTGAGGACGTAGCCGCGCTTCGCTAGCGGCGGGGGGGGAGAGTGGCCTTTGGACTTGGCTCGTGGCTTGTGCCCCAACAGCCCAGATAGTCAGTGCCCGACCTACTATGTTCTGAGTCGGAATCTCAACCTGTAGGAGGCAGGAGAGGATGGGGAGGCTGGACAGGAGGCCGGACGGGGGAGGAGGGCGGCTAAAGGAGGGCAGCGTTGGAGCGATGGTGCTGATTGCAAGGGTGAGAGGGATCCACCTGCTGAAGGTGCGCAGGACGGCCGCCCACCAATGGCCCCAGCATCGACACCAATATCGGCCGCGCCGCCTCCGCCACCAGCGTCCCCGCCCACGAGCTACATGGAGCTGGACACGGACGAGCCCGCTCCTCCTCTGGCGTCTGCACCGCCAGCCGGTGAGCGTGAGGCAAAGCGGGCTCAGGGAATAGCGCCGGGCGGTGTCGCGATCGCGAAGCGTGACGTTTGCTGCGAGCCGGTCTTGAACCTGTGTTCACTGTCTTGACTCGTGTAAACGTAAATGGTCCGTATTTGAAATAGTATTTCCTGAGCCCTGGTGTCGAGGTGTCGAGGCCCGGTGTCGAGGGTGTCGAGCTGCTGTCGAGGCCTGTCGAGGGATAGAGGTGTCGAGGCCTGTCGAGGCCTGTCGAGGCCTGTCGAGGCCTGTCGAGGCCTGTTGAGGCCTGTCGAGGCTGAAACCATGCTTGACCGTGTCGAGGGGTGTCGAGGGGTGTCGAGGGTGTCGAGGGTGTCGAGCAGGTGTCGAGTGTTGTCAAGGGGTTTTGCGTCTAAGGTGTCGAGGTGTCCAAGGTGGCAGGATGCAGTTGCAGCCCATCAACAAAACTTGGGCAGCAGTTGCAAAGCTGTTTCATCCCTTAGTTGCAGCCTCAGTTGCACCCTGTTGATGTAGCACAACCTGAGCACAACCAGTATACTCTCTGTGGACATTTGAGGACATCAAGTGCCGGGAGTCATTGCCACTGTGCACAAAGGTACTGTGCAGGCGCAGCACCGCAGCAGCGTCGCCGCTGCAGCAGCGTCGCCCCTGCAGCGTCACCGGCGCACAAAGCGCAACTGACCACAGCGCTCATGGCACAAGGCTGGTGCCATGAGTCAGTGGACATTGCCACTGCACAAGGTGCTGTCCAGCAGCTAAGGGCTGCCAGTACCCCATCGCAGCAGCGTCGCCGCCGCTGCAGCGTCGCCGTTGCAGCCGAGCGTCGCCAGTGCACAAAGCGCAATGGACCACAGGTCTGCACTCATGGCACAAGCTCACTGGTGTGAGGATTCATTGCCACTGTACAAGGTGCTGTGCAGCACCTGAGGGCTACCTGAGTACTGCCATGTTTGCTGCATCAACAGGGGTGCAACTGAGCTGCAACTTGAGCTAGAACTTGAGAGGCTGCAACTCAGGGATGAAAGTACTGCCAGCCAAGTTTGATTGCTGCTGCAACCCTGATTTCTAACTCTGACTCCAATGGGTCTACATCTCTGCTGTGTTAGGATCATCAGAGGTGTCGAGCGGTGTCGAGCGGTGTCGAGCGGTGTCGAGGGGTGTCGAACGGTGTCGAGGGGTGTCGAGGGGTGTCGAGGTGTCGAGTTTGGCACCTTGACACGGTCGAGCATGGTTTCAGCCTAGGGGGTGTCGAGGGGTGTCGAGGGGTGTCGAGGGGTGTCGAGTTGGTCGAGTTGGCATGGGGTGTCGAGGTGTCGAGTTGGTGTCGAGTTGGTGTCGAGGTTTGGTGTCGAGGTGTCGAGGCCAGGGCTCAGAGTATTTCTCTCCCAGTGCGCGCCAGTCCCGTGCCCAGTGTTGTGCGAGGGAGTTTTGTTGTAAGATTCTTTCTCTGTGATTCGCGCACCCCCTCAGACGATCTCTGAACACGCTCAAGATGGTGGGGCCGCCGCTCGCGCGCGCACATGTGCCCACTAAGCGGTAGCATATGCCATGTACTACGCAATGGTTGGGTAGTAGGGCTAGAGGGTCGCTCTACACTTAGCCTCTGCAGCGAGCGAAGCGCTCAACTTAGGTCTTAGCCCCCGCACGGAGCCGGGCTCGGACTTAGACGCTGTATGGTCAGGGGCCATGAACTTAGACGACATAAGGCCAACTCCGGGTAAAACTCGGGTATACCTGAAAAGCCTTCAGGTTTACCCGAAAAATACCTGGTCCTGGACGCGTCCCGACCAACGTATGCCGCGCCGCGCACGACGCCCCATATCGCCTTCTCCCAGGGCCAGTGCGCTACTTTTGGCGCGCAACGCCTGCTCAACTACGCGCAACGTACCATGTGCTGCCGCTATGCGTGCCTTAAGGCGGCTGCGGCGAAGCGGCGGGCGCGGCATGCCGATGGCAGTGCGGACGATGCGGTTGCAATGTGTTCTGCTTCAAGATCGTGGCGGTGCTTGGCATGCACTTCTGCGATCCCAATCAGCTCATCGCAACGAAGCAGCGCAACAAGCTGGCTGCTGCCAACAAGGCCCTATGCTACCTCACGCGCGGATCGTTCAAAGAGGACCAGCATACACAGGCTTCTCTGACATGTGACATGCGTTTGTTTGAGCTTGAGGCTATTTGTGAGAACTGTTTGGCTAGAAGTCGCCTAAGATTGCGCTCAAGAAGCAGCAACGAGAATCGGAAGAGGAGGATGCTGAGCGGCGATTGCTGAGCATGAGGAGGATCGATCGCCCGCCGCAGGCCATGCCGCAGGCGAAGAAAATTTGGGGGCTGCGCCGTATCGTTGTACGTTGATCACGGTGGGAGCCTCTTGGCCCCAGGCCGTCCACGGCCGACTTAGCCGATGTAAGAGGCTCCCGCTGATATCTTAGACCGCGCAAGCACTCCAGCGTGGCTAGCCACACTTAGACCCGTTAGGCCTCCAGGCTCAGAACTTAGATACTACTACCGTCCCTACCCAACCAGTTACTACGCTACTCTATCTACTAAGACCGTTGAGGATAGTACATAAGTAAGGGGTACAATACTATGGCCGCGCCCCGCCCCCGGGGCCCCCCGCCCCGCCCGCGACCGGCGAGAGAGAGTGAAAATACGCTTGCAAAAACCCCATATAAAAACTGTGTGTGGACTGTTGAGGGTCAGTCTCAGTGCGAGCTGGCGAGAGAGTGACAGTCAACCGCGGCATAAGTGCGGTTTGAGCAGCGCGTGCACGTCAATCAATAAGTGAGTTAGTTACTCGAACCGGTCGTGGCTGTTGGCCGGCTCGGACCAGAGCTCAACGACGAGGGAGACGCGAGTCCCGCGGGTGACCCGGGTGACATTGTGCAGCTCCATCGAGCTCAGCAGCACTCCGTCGCCTGCGGCTCGCAAGGCGGGGCGGGGCGACTCAGGCGGCCGGCGCAGAGAGCGCAGATGGGTGGGGGCGGCCGCCTAGCTCGAGGCGGTGCCTCTCCGGCTCGCCCTCTCGGAAGGTGACAAAGTCGCCTCCCTCGAAGCGGCCCGCCTCGCAGAGCTGCACCGACAAGGTGAGCAGCGAGCCAGAGTCGCGGTGCAGCGGCGCGTCGAGCGCTCCTGGGGAGGGTCTCCAAAGGCTTGCCGCGTGTTCACAGGCACGGCCGCGTCGGTGCGTGCGTGAGAGTGAGGCCGCGCGCCTCCCTCGGAGTACGAGTGCAGCTCGACGCAGCGCACCTGCAGCTCTGTGGCCGGGTCGACGCGCCCGCCCTCTCGCATCGCGCGCACCACCTGGAGTGGCGCGTCGTGGTCGGTGGGGAGTAATGCCGGCCTCGGGAGCAGCTCTGGCACGCTGTCGCCTTGGCAAGGAGGTGCTTGCACCTGTCTGCAAACAGGCCGTCACGGTGCAGGAAGAGCGCCACGTGTTCGGCGGTGTAGACGACGTCAAAGCAAGCGCTGCGGGGACACAAGGGTGGCCGGTCCGTCACCGAGGGCAGAAGGATGCTGCCACGGAGCGCGGGAGCTCACGCACTCGGCCAGCGCTGGGCACACAGGCGGCGGGATTCTCCAGGCAGTGGTAGGCTCTGAGCGACGGCCAGAGGCGGAGGCGAGCGCGCAGCAGGCTGCGACCTCCTCGGCGCTGAGCACGCCCCGGAGCACGGTGGGCGAAGGCACCTCAGCACGGTACGTATCCGACCAGTAGGCGAGACGCGCCGCGGCGTGAGCCGCCTCCAGACCGGGAAGGAGATGAAGGTCCGCCGCCGTGGAACTGGCTGGGGCGTCGTCACGTCGACTGCGCTTGGCCGGCGGCATGCGAGAGCACTGACGTGCCAAAAAGAATTCACCCCGGTCCAAAAGAAAAAGGCAGAGGAGAGCGACGCGACAGAGGAAGAAGCGACAAGGGAGAGAACGACGAGAGTGGGACGACCGCGAGGTGGCATGAAGGTTGCAGCGAGAATCGCAATCGGCGAGAGACTGCGAAGGGAGATAGGAAGAGGCGGACGCCCTAGGGTGGGCGACGGCTAGCACCACACTCCTCTCCTTAAAATCCCTGTGTGGTGGCGGCGTGCCGTCCTCCCAAGTCCCATCCACCCTCCCTTGGGTTGTCCGTTTTCTTTCTTTCTTAAAAAGAAAGAACTGAGGCGGACCTGAGCGATCACAGAGACGCTTGGACTGGTCTCCATCAAGGGACTATGTAATCTCAAGGGAGCACCCGCCGTAGCCACCCCTCCGCGAGCTTGGGCCACCGCCCAGTCTCCACGTCGCGGCGCGCCGCAAGGTTGGAGGCCATGCCGAGCCCGTGCTTGAGATGCTTCCCTTGAAACAGGTGATATTCCACCGGAAAGGAGCGCGCGCGCAGCGCCCGCACGAGCACCTCGCTATTCTCGCTGGGCACGACAGAGTCATCCTCGGTGTGCCAGATGAAGAAGGGCGGCGGCGGCGACGCGGCGGCGCGGGCGATGTCCTCGAGGGAGACATCGCTCTCGTTGCCCAGTGGCGACGCGTCCGCGCCCCAGTCGAGCAGTGTGGCGATCGAACCGTGGTGGCGAAGGGGCCTCTCGGATGGCCTCCCGCTCAACTTGGCGCGCCGCCCCGCCGCCTTGGGCCCAATGCACGCGAAGCTGCTGCAGCGCCAGCTCCCTCCTCCCGCGCGCACAACACTCGTGTTGTGAGCTGACACCACAGGGTACGCCAGCAGCGCCGCGTCTGGCCGCGCCAGCTTCGAGGCGGGTCGATCGCCCTCCTCACGCATCTGCGAATCGAGCCGGCGCGCCAGAGCTGCGTCCCAGGAGAGAGCGACGTGGCCAGCGAGGTGGCCTCCAGCACTGAAGCCGATCACGCCGACGCCCGAGACACCCCATTCGTGTGCATGCTGACGAACGAGCTGGATGGCGCGCCGGGCATCCAGCAGCGGCGCCGGGTGGAGCCGGAGCACACGATAGACCAAGACCGCGGCGTGGTATCCGATTGAGTTGAGCCACTCGCACACCGTTTCGCCCTCGTCGACCGTGCTCAGCCGGACATACCCGCCCCCGGGCATGACCACGACCAGGGGGCGAGGCTGCGAGCTCGGCTGCAGGAGCCACGGAGTCAGAGCCGGCGGCGATGGGCCGCCCAGAACCGCGCCGCCGATGCGGCTGACGAGGGCGTCCGCCGGAGCGCGGTCGTGCGGAGGGACGCCCGGCCAGAGCGGCAGCGCCGGCGAGGGTGGCATATGGGTGTGGACCGTTGGTTGGTGCGTCGCGAGCGGGGCAAGCGAAGCGCCACGCCGAAGGTGCCCGTCGAGCGTACAGTATACCCTCTTACCCTCCGATCACAGCCTTGTTATTGAGAAGAATTCTTGAATCCAGAATTCTTAATACGTCCCATGGCGCTGTGCGCTGGTCTGTGAGAGGTTGAGGTGCGAGCCCTGGAGGCCCTGGGGATGGGGGGAGACTACCCGCGGGCCTAGAAGGCCCGCGGCCGCGCGCAGGGGGGTGGGGCATTGAGACCGGTCATGAACGAGTGCGCGACACGCATGTTGCGAGCAGCGTTGTTGATGTTTTGCGCGTCGCCACAGACGGCGGCGCGCGAGAGCTGCTGCGAGTGGTGCTGGGCGAAGCCCCGGGCGCTGCCGGAGGCTGTGGCATAGTCGGTGCGGTCGACGGCGCTCGGGCTGCCAACCTCTTTGGCGAAGTTGAAGATGATTCCCTATGCGCTCACGGGCCCGGGCGACGATCGTGGCCAAAAAAAATCAAAAAGTACCATCCGTGGGGGCGAGATTTTTACTGGATTTTTAACTGTCAAGCTCGATTTTGAGAGATTTGACCCAGGAGAACTAGACAGAACGGCGCCCCAAATGCAAATCGGCCCGGAACCGACCCGTGGGCGGCCCGTCTGCCGCACCCAGCTCCGCCGGGACGGGGAGGGGCGCGCGCCGTTCCCCGCGGAGCTCGGGCGGGCCCTACAAGGGCGGGCCACGCACGCGGTGTACCACACACACACACACGCGCGTCGGTCTTGGTCGGGGCGCAGCGCGAGCGGGCAGCGGGGGCCGCTAGTATACAACGTGTGAACACCGTCACTCGAAAGGAGGAAAGTGGGGGCTCTGGGGCTGGGAGATGGCTACGGCAACTAGAGTCGGCAAAATATGTATCGAAAGTCCGAGTATCGAGGGTCAGCTTGCGGTCAGCTCGGGCGCTCGGGTCCAGACACGCCGCATGTCTTGCGCGCCTCTGCGGAGAGGAGCCGCCGGGAGGGGCCAGAGGCGAAGCGACGCGTTGCCCACGTACCCGGCGACGGCCCCACGCAGCGCAACGCTGCGGGATGGCGGCAGCGGCGCGCCGGTCGCGGCGACGGCGTGCGCGGCCGCGCCATCGGCCGACGCGAGCACGGGCAGCCCTGTGCGCCGCGCAAGGCGCGCGGCGCCCGCATCCACCGGCAAGTGCGACCCGATCGACCAGAGGAGCGCCTGAGCGCCGTCGCGCCGGAGGCCGTCCACCTGAGGCGAGGGGAGGCGAGCTTCAGCTTCTCTCCGCGCGCCCCGGCACGCGGTGGCGTGGGGCGGTTTGGCGTGGGTTGCGCCCCGCGTCTCCCACGTCCGGGAGCCGGAGCCGGAATCCAGAGCCGCGAGGCCCGGCGCGCGTGGGCGGGCCATCCACCTGACTCCAGTCGCCACTCAGCTCCGGGTAGACGCCCTCGTAGCAGATGAGCAGCCCGACGCGGCCGCCGAGCAGCGGCGCCACCGTCGGCGCGTCGCTCGAGGGAGAGAAGCCGAGCGGCCACCGCTCCGAGGGGAAGAGGTGCCGCTTGCCGTACGAGGAGACGACCGCGCCCGCCGCGTCAATCACAACCTCGCGAATCTGCTTCTCGCCGCCGCCCATCCGGACGAGCACGTTGGCGACGACCGCCACGCGCTGCCGCCTCGCCGCGCACGCCAGCCCGGACTGGAGCGGCGAGTCTCCTTGGGTTGTGCGCGCCGCCGCGCACGGCGTGGCGCCCGCCGGCGAGATCCACGGCTCGGTCCCGAAATCGGGGCTGAGCGCGTAGCCCTCGGGGAAGAGCACGGCGCCGGCGCCCGCCGCCGCGCCTCGCGCTATCGCCGCCTCAAAGAGCCGGAGGTTGCACGTCGCGTTGGCGCCGCCGTCGCAGGCGGAGCCGGTCCAGGCGCGCGGGTCGTGGTTGCTGAGGATGGCGAGGACGCTGGAGCCGGGCTCCATGTGTGGGCGAGGAACGGGAGTGGCGGGTTGCGACACGGGCGAGTTTGGAAGGACTTCGCAGAAAAAGATAACGCACCGGCCCTCAGCGGAGCTGGGAAGAGGACCGCCGCAAGCGGCGTGGCGTGGAGCGGTTGTGCATCCCTCCGGGGGCCCCTCTGCGCCGGGGAGGCGTTGTTGGAGGCTAGGACGCAAGCGTCCGTCGCCCTTTTCAAACTCGGGGCCCACTCCGCTACGCTCCGACCCGAATTTGGGGGCCATGAAATTTAAGGTGTTGCTGCGCAAAAGGGGTCGGACACCGGGCGCAGCTCATGCTAAGAGCTAGAAGAGGAGATAGAGAGAACAACCACCCTGTCCCGCTATTGCGTACACCAACACCACAAAACGCTCTATCTCTCCTGTCCTCACTCAGGGGGGTCACAACTACCGAGTCCCTCGACTAGCGCAGCTGGAGACGCTCCCCCCTCAATCGGCATCCACCCCCACCCGCTCCAGCCCCACTTCTGCTGCCGAGAGAGCTGAATCGAAGCAAGCGAGCCATTGCATCTTGGCGTGCTCCTGGAGCGCGGCTTTCTGCTTGGCGGCCACGAGCACGGCGGAGTCGGCGTCGTAGCGCGCAATCGTTCCCGCTCATCGCCCATTCCTCCCACGTGACGTGTGTCGGCCGCGATTCGATGTCGCCACCTTCATCGCCAACGAGGACTCCCTCGACTGCAGGGGGGCTCCGGCGCGGGGAGGGACTCGGGGGGCACGCCCGTGCGGCTAGCACGACGGTCCCCCCAGCCCCACAGGCAGCATGCATTTTATTTCGTCCCACATGCTTCGATAAATGAGGCGAGAGCGTACACCGCGCCGCGCAAGCGGTGCACACACACACACACTCACTCATCCATAGCGCGCGAGGGACATGACATGCAGAGAGAGTGGGAGAAACTAGAGAGACTGGGCGCGAGATCCGCGGGTGTGCGCAATGCACCACTGGCGGAAAGGCTCAGCTCGTAGCTGCCTCTCGCTCCTAGAGGCCTAGTCTCTCGTGAGGAAGCCTCGCACCGGGGCGGCGCCTCCTGAGCGGCCCCAGATCGCGATGAGTCGCGCTGGCAGCGCCCTGGCGCAAGGCTGCTGGCACAGCCGCCTAGGCCGCTGCCTCGCGGATGCGGAGCAGCGGCTCCCACTTGGTCGGGCACGCGTCGGCGTCGAGCAGCCACGCCTTGATCCTCTCGAACCGCGCGGAAGAGCCTGTCTCGCGGTTGCGCTTGCCGTACTGCAGCACGCCTACAGGCACAGGCACAGATCACAGAACTGGTGAGGTGTGGGCGACTTCTCTCGCCGCAGAAGGTGCGCACGCACCTTCGGTGTCTGGGACGAAGGTGAGCGTCTGCCACAGCGACATCACCGTGTAAGCCACGAACTTGAGCGTGATGGTGCGCGAGCGGCCCGACGGGAGGAAGGTGAGGTACTGCTGGAGGAGCGCGGGCCACTCCTTGTGCGCGAAGGCCAGCAGCGTGTGGTTCTGCGGGTCGACGGCGGCGTGGAAGGCGAACATGAACTCGTCCTCGCCCTCAAGCTTGAAGCCGGGCGGCGCTGCCACCAGCCCAGCGAACAGCGCCACGTGCTCCGCCTTGGCCGCCGCGTGCAGAGTGGCGTTGGAGGCGTGCACCATGACGCGGTGGATGATGCCCGAGTAGATGAGGAGCAACTGGTTGCGGAGGTCGGTGTTGAGCTCCGACTCCGCCTCGCGCAGCGTCGCACGGAGGTTCTGCTTGAACTGCGTCTTGAGCAGCACCTTGGACCCGGTGTTGTCGGGCAGCGGCAGCGCAGCGATGACCCCCGGCAGGATGTCGTCGAGGGAGAGCCCGGCAACGGTCTCGTCGAGCTGGGCGAGGATGTACGCCTGGATGGGGCGCACAATGACATGGCGCCTCAGGCGTTTGTATGGAGCGATCTCGGGCGATCTCGATCGATCTCAGGCAAATATCGGGCAATCTCGGGCAATCTCGGCGACACCTTGATGGCGCGCACGACGACGTGGCGCTTGCCGCCAAACGTCCGCCGGTCGGGAGTAGGCTGCCAGTACGGGGAGGCGCCCGCCGCGGCAGCGCCACCGCCGCCACCGCCGCCACCGCCGCCACCGCCACCGGCCGGGCCGGCAGCGGCGGCGGCGCCGCCGCCCAGCGCCGGGATGAGCTGCGAGACGAGGGCGGTGGCGATGTTGTTGGGCAGGGAGGTGATCGCCTGCGTGAGCAGCGCCTGGTTGAACTCGCGGTTGGGGTCGTCCGCGCCGTTGGAGTCCTCGGCCCGCGCAGCCTTCTCGTACTCGTCTTCCTCGAGCTCGGGGTCAGAGACGCCGCCCTCAGAGCCCTCGACGGAGGAGAGGATGTCGCCGCCGAGGCCGTCGGCCGAGCCCGACTCGGATGGCGCGTACGATGTGTCCGAGGAGTCGCTCTCGCTGCGCGCGTCAGCCTGTGTGGGGCACCGAAGAAGCGTTCAAGAGCGCAGCGCTGGCGTGGCGGTCGCTGCGAAGCAGGCGCGCGCCTCGGCAGTCGGCTCCGGGTGGAGGTCTTGGAGCGTCTTGGCCTCTGTCTTGCCAGCTTGGTCGGTGACGGGTGTCGTGTTGACACGGGGAGCGCGGCGCTGGCGCTTCTGAGGCATGTTGAAGTCTGCCCGAGAGAGACGGTTGAAGAAGCGACCGTGGAATCATGGTCCGTGAATTTTGAGCGCGAACGAAGATTCCTTTGCCGCTCCCGCCTCGAATGCGCGAATCGCGCGGTCTAGGTGCTGTGTTCTTGTGTTCGGTGTAAAGGGAAGTAGTTTGCTGAAAAAGCCGGCGACATTCTTCAAGAGAGAGAGAGAGAGAGAGAATACGGCTGCTTGCAGGCTGCAGACGCATTTCAAGACATGCTTTTCTGGGTGGTGCCAGCTTGGGGCAGCAGCATGTCGTGTATAAACTAATTTCTCTTTTCCACTGCACACAACGTGCACACCAAGACGCCATTCATCCATGAGAGAGAAAGAGAAAAAACGGCCTTAGCGCGCGGTGAATGGAGGAATGGAGCTGCCCTGAGGAACGATAAACTCGCTCGAGGTGGTTTGCAGGTTTGGAATATGCGTCTTCCCTCGCAATAACAAAGTGGAGCACGAAATTCTTTCTGTCTCAGCGAAGCTGGTCGAGCGCGCAACAACCGAAGAACTGGCGCGTTTCGTGTGCTCCGACTGTGGCCGCGTCTGCCGTAGCTACACACAGCTCTCGTGGCACATCCGCGACGCACACCCTGGCGACCTCGACGCAGCAGCACACGCGGTACTCGATCGCGACGCGCATCGCGTCGCAGATCAGCAGGCGGAGCAGCCGCAGCGTGAGCACGAGCGCCGAGAAGCTCGGCGGAAGCCAGGCGAGCCGCGAGTGTCGCCGCGTCCGCCTCTGCCGCCGCCGTACTTTGCTGACATCCAGCTGGGCGCACTCTTTGGCAATATGCGCACGTTCCGGTGGTATGCACACCAGGAGCTCATCGGCACTTCCAACCATGACACGCCCTCGGCCATCGCTCGCGAGCAGGAGGACACGGTCGGGTCGCTCCAACCGCTGCTGATTGATGCACGGCGTGGACTGTCGCCGATGCGAGCGGTGGTGGATGGCTTGCTCGACAAACTCGGGCTTCGATTTCACACAGTCACCATCGAGGTGGAGCTGACGCCAGGTGAGCCGCCGGTCGCTGTCGTGATGCACTATCGGAAGCTGGATGCGATGGCCCGCTTCCTCTTCCGCTTTGTGACGCCGGAGCACTGTCGCCCACGGCGGCTCGTCGAGCGCAGCAGTGGTGACCGCGTCTACGCGGATCCCTACTCGGGCGATGTGCTGCTCGAGCTCTGTGGCGCCATCCAGGCTCGGGACCCCTCGGCCATCGCTTTTGCGCTCAAGCTGTACTGGGACGATACAAATCTCACCAAGAACGGCGAGCGCTCGGCTTGCCCCGTGTCCGTCACCAGCCTGGCTCTTCCACTGGAGCAGGCCCGGCAGCCTTCCAATGGAATGCTCCTCTCGTACCTGTCCAAGGTGCCTGACCGAGCCATGCTTGAGGTGTCTGACGCGCGCAAGACAACTGTGCGCAAGCTGCTGTTTCGCGCGCAGATGCGACACTTGTTCAGTGGCATGCGAGACAGGAGCATGATCTCCCTGGTTGGTACCACCGCTGTTGGCGCGCACGGCCAGGCTGAGCGCATCTACCCCGTGGTGCTCGGGCTGTCGCTCGACTACCCAAAGATTGCGCAGGTGACGCAGACGCTGCAGAACCAGGCGTGCTGGATGTGCTACGCCAGGAAGGGGCCGGGGTTCTGGTCACACGAGAGCTTTGACCTGCGGAGCAACGCCACCCAGCGTGCGCACATCGGTCGGGCATGGGCTCTCCACCCGCACTCGGCGGCAGCGCGCGCGGACCACACCCGGCCTCTCGGGCTCCACCCTGATCCCAACCCGGCCTTTGAGGTGGTGGGCCTGGACGTCTTCCAGGGCACGGCCATCCCGCTGATGCACTTTTGCGAGCACGGCACTGGCCAGAAGCTGATGGAGTGCACCTTCCAGCTGATGCAGAGCAGCCTCTCCTCCCGTGACTTCAAGGCGTTGGGCAAGCAGATCGATGCCTGGATCACGGCGCGCGTCGTCCCGCTGCACATGACCAAATGCGCATTTTCGCGAGGCATCTCGCATTACCTGTACGGAGCCTACATCAATCCACTCGACCCATGGGAGGGAACTGTCAAGTTCGGCCAGATTGCCTCTGCCGACACGCTGAGAGACATCCTCCGCTTCTGGCGACTGCTCCTCGTCGACATCTCCCCCGGCTGCCCCCAGCTGCTCGAGCTCTTCACCGTCTACTTTGAGTGGTTGGAGCTCATGTACCGCAGAGCTCACACTGACGGGAGCCTGCGATACGCTTCAGATTTGAACGAGCAGTGGCAGGACCTGGCCATCTCCCTCTTTGGCAAGGAGCACTTTGAGGACTCCATTAAGTTCCACGCTGCCGGTGCGCACCTTGCCGACTGGACGACCGGGCGAGGGAGCCTGCTCTACTACAACGACGCGTACGGCGAGCTCCTCAACAAGAGCAATGCCAAGGAGCCGTGGAGACGCACCAACTACCACCGTGGCCCTCACGGTGCCGAGGAGCAGATGACGACGGTGGTCAGTCGGACCGACCTGCTCAAGCTGCTGCTGCAACTTGCGGAGAGGGCCGACGCCTCGCCTGCGCCTCCGCCGCCTCTCGCGTCGCCGCAGCTTGGCCCACCCAGCCGGCTGATGGGGGTTCGAGAGACGGTGTGCCGAATCGACCTTGGGGCTGCGCAAAACATCCACCCTTCCCTCCTTCAGCTTCCCTTCTCCGTGGCCTTGTATTTGCATCAAGCCACGGGCGGCGGCAGCGACGACGCCTCGTTCCCCGGTGGAATGCCCAGCCTCACTTCTTCGCTACTTGAGGTTCGACCGGGCGTGGCAGTGCAGCGATGGCCTGCCAACTTCCGCGCAGCAGAGCGAGGCGGCTCGAAGCTACACGCCGCCCTCTGCCAGGATGAGACGCGGCAAGAGGTGCGGCCGACCGGCGAGGCCCCTGTCTTTGTTGCTGTGGATGTCGATGGCCAGGGCAAGCTGTGGTACGGCCAGCTCATTCTCTGCTTTATCGCGCGCTACCTTGGGCCAGAGCAGCTGTGCTACATCCGATGGCTCGACTCGTTGCACGACCTCGATGCTGCGCGCATCCGCCCCCTGACCCCCCGCGAGGCGGTCGGTCCGTTTGAGGCCTTCCGGTGGTCGAAGCGACCCGGAAGCCGCCGCCACAGGGGGCACCCACGCGCGAATAGCCCTCACTACGGGGTAGTGAGCTGCGAGCAGGTGCGATACCGGGCCGCAATCATAGCGAGCCTGGCTGACGCTCTCGACGCAGAGGATCCGCTGTTCCGCCTGAACACTGACATGTATCTGCTATGAACACGGGACACTCGCTCGCGCCAGCCAGCTGTGATTTCACGGTCGGAGTGTGATATCAAGCCCATGAATCTTGCGTTGTGAAATCACAAATCCGGTATGAAATCACGCTTCATATAGATTTCATGCTTTTTTCCATGATCTCATAGAGCCGGGGTTTTCTAGATGAACAAAACACACTAGGGTTCGCGGGAGAAGGCTAGGGTTAGGGAGAGAGTGCCTGACGGGCTTCGGCCCGACGGCGAGTGCGCGGGTACGCGTGTGCGTGCGGGCCCGCGTGTGTGTGCGTGTGTGCGTGCGGACGCGCAACATGGTAGCGTGCATTCTTAATCATTCTACAACACACGCACCCTGAAGCTGTCGCTGACTCGCCGCGACTCAGGCTGTGGCTCTGTGATGAACACACAGTCACGCACGCACGAGGTCTACCGATGCACAGTACATTCGCGCCACCAAGACTGCGCGGCACGCACGCGCACTTGCAGGCCTCGAGGCGCGCTCTCCTTTCGCGGCATGCCCTGTGGTGTCAGCGCTTCGCCTCGTAGCCCGCGCTCCCTTCCCGCCGCGACGGCGGAGCGCTGCGAGGCGGATGGCGGTGTGGCGGCTGCTGCTGATGTTCGCTGCCGCGCAGAGCTGTCGAGCCAGCAAGAGGTGGCAAACAGCTCGAAGGCGGCGTCGGCGACCGCCGCGCTGGCTCTCTCTCCTCGGCAGACGCCGCGTCGCGTCTCGGCGGCGGCAGCTGCTTCGCCGCGAGAGTAGCGAGGCGACGTACGCGCCTCCGCTCTGCGGCAGCAGCCGTGAGCGAAACGCGCTGGCAGAGCTGCTGGCTTCGCAGCGAAGGAGTGGCGAAGAAAAAAGTATTTCATAAAGCACGCACGGCACTGGGAACGCTTAAAATCCCTGTGTGGTGGCGGCGTGCCGTCCTCCCATCCCTCCCTTGGGCTGTCTGTTTTCTTTCTTTCTTTACACTGGGAACGGGAAAGAAAATAGAAAAGCGTTCTTGCTAAAACTCCCTCCCTTGGGTTGTGTGTTTTCTTTCTTTCTTTCTTTCTCTCTCGCAGAAGAATAGGTGGTGAGCGCTGTGGCGGCGACTGGCGACGCGCGGGAGTCCGGGAGAGTAGTCGACGCACGCGCCTCTGCTCTGCGGCAGCAGCCTCTCGCGAGCGCGCTTTCATAGCGCTGGGGCCGGACGAGGCGAGCCGAGAAAAGAAGTTTGGGCGCGGTGAATCGGTTATCCGGCGCTCGAGGAAAATAAGATAAACCATTCTTGCTTCAAGAAACCTGTAACGGCGAAAGAAAACTGAGGAAAACGCGAGAAAAGAGAATTTCGTTCCTCAAACTCTCTCTGAGAAGATAGGTGTGCTCAGCGCTGTAGCGAGCATCTAGCTTCGAGCTGGCCTGCTGGCGTGCACAGTCGTGTCGGACCACTGCGTCGCACCCTTCACCACCTGGCGGTGGATGGTAACTTGCGGTCGCTCGTTTGATGCCGCGCACGTGCGCCCACGCAGCTGGCAGCGACGGTGGTGGAGGGGAGGGAGCGTGGGAGGCGGTGGTGCCGGAGGCGGTGGTGCCGGAGGTGGTGGGGATGGCGGTGGTGGCGAGGGCGGCGGAGGCGAGGGCGGCGGCGGTGACGGCGGGGGCGGTGATGGTGGCGCGGCGGAGACGGAGGAGGTGGAGAGGGCGGGGGTGTGTGGCGATGGCGGCGGTGGGCTTGGCGGTGGCGGTAGAATTTCGCTTGTAGTCCCCGGCAAATTTCACTTGTAGTCCCCGCGGAAAATTCACATTTCAACTATATAGGCGGGTGCGGAGCGATCGTTTCACCGTCTCCAGCAAACTTAGCCGCCGTAGCTCAGCGGTAGAGCGTGGCACTCGTAATGCTAAGGTCGCGAGTTCGAACCTCGCTGGCGGCTAATGGTTTTTTGCTATGGTGAGGTGGGATGGTGATGGTGAGGTAAGAGGTGATGGTGAGGTGGAGCTGACGCGCCGAGGCAGCGAGAGGGAGTTTAGCCCATCCCTCACGCTCACCAGCGCCGGCCGCACGCTTGCAGGCCACTTCTGAGCGGCTGAGGCAAGTCCTCGTGGGGGACGAGGACGGATCCACGCCGCTTTGCCGGCTCGCGCCGCGCTGCTCGCCTCTCCGAGAGGCGATAGTCGACCTCCGCGCCTTCGGCCCTTCGCAGTGCGTGCAGCGGCTGGGCGCCAGGCGCGGTGCAGAGGGCCATGGGGGGCCAAACTGCTCTGGGGGGAGGCGGGGGCCCCCGGAGGCACCGTGCGCCGCGCAGCAGTGCGGAAACGGGGCTCCGGCTCTACTAGTCTCGACTAGCACCGACTTCCCGAATGATCACGGTTGATCAGAGGGCAGATTTGGAGAGATCTCGAGGAGTACATACAGACCCTCTAACCATAAGAAACTTCCAACCTAATCGGTCGTACTGACCGCCGACAGATCACTCCAGACAGCAGACAGGCCGACGTCTGCACACGGCCGGCCGGGCGAGAGGCTTGACACGATCCGACCCTGCGACCCTGACGCTGCTGCTCTAGCTATCAGA